AAGCAAATGAATACTATAAGGTCCAAACAAAGGTCACAAGGTCTTAGATCCAAGCCAAGTCTTAGATGAACCAAAGGTCCAGATGTATCTTAAGTCTCAAGTATCATAAAGCATCAAATGAATCCCAAAGTAACAAATTAACCAAATTATTAGATGAATCTCTCCAAGAAAAGGAAATGAAATCCTAGATCTAAGTTCAATAGTCCAGAGTCTCCAAGCATAAGATAGTAACACAAAGTCCAAAAGAGAACCACATACATTTTTTTAGGTTTTTGGTTATTTATTAATGTTTTTGGCCTTTTGAAGTAAAAGAAGCACAAGATAACAAAAATAAAAGCAAAAGTGAAAATGACATGAATATAAATGACTTGAAATTCAATGACATGAAATAAATGACATTAATGTAAAGTTATTGAAATTAAATGTTAGGAATTAGCACAATTATTAATGTTAATGTTAGTGTTAATGAGAATTAAACCGATTTGGGACAAATTTAGCGCTATGTTAAACAATCATAATTGGACTTATGTAGATGTCACAACTATCTGAGGTCCGTCAATAACAATTTATGCGTCAAACATGTTAGAGAAATGACACAAAGTCATTCTTTTAAAACATGCAACACAAGTTAAAACCAAAACAAAAAGAAAAAGATGGAGAAGAAGAGATGATCAGGCATCAAGGCAAGGTATTATTTATCATCAACTCCAATCATTCTTCTTCATGATACTTTGAGATAAACTTATCATCAATCCAAAGTACCAAAAATGATCAAAGGGTCATTTAATGGTATGTTTGAAGTGATGTAAGTTCAACCAATCAAAATACCATTTCAAAGTCCAATTGAACAAGATGAAGCATCAATCAACCACAAATGATCAAGGTCAACAAAGGTCAAAGCATAAAATGGACCAAAATATAATATAAAGAAATTAAAATCAATTTTAAGATATTTTAAAATAGAAATAAAAGAGATAATCACAAATACTATAAGTATTGAGGTATCAAAAGTTGAGATAAAAAATATTTGAAAATGATCAAAAATAAAAATGAAAATAGAAATTAAATGAAAAATAGAAGAAACTATGAATTAAATGCAAAATGATTTTTAAAAATTATGCAAATATATATATATATATATATATATATATATATATATATATATATATATATATATATATATATATATATATATATATATATATATATATATATATATATATATATATATATATATATATATATATATATATATATATATATATATATATATATATATATATATATATATATATATATATATATATATATATATATATATATATATATATATATATATATATATATATATATATATATATATATATATATATGGGGTAGAAAATATTTGTATGATATTATGAAAAAAATTAGAGTAAAAAATAATAAAGTAGCTATTTAAAATAAATTAGAAAATAAAATAAAATAAAATAAAATTTAAAATGAAATGTCCAACAGCTAGGATGCGTGTCACATGATCATTGATCAGAATTTGAATTTTTCCACCAACGCGCGCGAACACGTTCATATTCAACTTTCAGCTTGATTTATGCAACTCACGAACTAGGTGTTTTTAGCATGAATCAAGCAAGGATTCAGCACCAACATCCATCATCTTCCATGTATCTCTACATCAGAGAATTGATTTTCTCTAAGCAGTGAGAATTTTCTCAAGAACACAAAGAACCCTAGTTCTTCAAAGTAAAATTAAATGACAAATTAAAAGATAAATTTTGAGTAAGTGAGGGCTTTTGGTTAGTGGGACAAGACGAAGAGACTGATAACTTGTTTGCTCATAAATGCTATGTGTAACTATATTTTCAGTTGAAGCTTGAAGGTCCAACAATGGTGAAATTGAGTTGCATGTTTCAGAGAGCTTCAAATAAATGCAATGGTTCAGTTAGCTTTAAAAGATGTCGATGAAGGATTCTAGGTGGTGAAACGAAGTTAAAAGAGCTTGAATCAAAGAAATGATGAACTGGTTTTTTGAGGTATCAGGTTAAAATTATTTCAGAGTTTCTTTGGTTGTTCAAGCTTGGAAAAGAAGACAAAATGATCCTCTACTTATAGAAAAGAGAGTGAGGTTATGGTATATGTGAAATTGAATCTTAAACGTGTGAGCCAAGTTATGAAAATTCTAGATTCAAACCGTGTGAAATGAAACACCAAATGCGTGAGTTTTTTTAATCAATTCACGTCATTTTGCATTGTGTAAGACACGTTTCATCATGACAAAGAAGTTTACTCATGTGCTAAGTGGTCCCAAGTAACTTTTAGGTCATTTCTAATTACGGGTCATATATAAAAAATGCAGAGCCAGGTCATCAAGTTCATGCTTAGGCCAAATGAAATCCACTTGTGCGTTTTGTGATTTTCTTCAGGCTAAATGATCCTTCCATGGAGTAGAAGACAATGCAAAAAGAACAAATTCAAAAGGATGCTTGGGTTGAAAATATAATACTTGGAAAGTTGAGGTCGTGGAACTGAAAAACATGTCTGACATTAGGTCAAACATGTCACGAACCTAGTTTTGTGCACATGTAGCCTTTGAGCAACTTCAAAAATTGAGGGGCTTAGGGGTTGAATTGAGTCTTGACCCTTGAAGAAAAATTGTAGAGGATATCAAATATGACATTTGGCTCAAAGAAGATCCCAAAAATGTTGAAAAACGAGGGAGTTATCATATTTGGACCAAAAGGCATGCCATACTTGATTTTAGGTCAACCAACTATATACCAACTTGAATTTTCTTGAGTTTCCTTGCATCCAAAGGCTTAATAACGGTCACTTGAATACCAAATGAAGGAAGCTTGGTTGTTCTTTGAATATCCTTGATGACTGCTTGAGAATTGAATAAAAATGACATGGAAATAAACACATGAACCATACTTGAATCATATTTGAATTTATGCATCAAACTTGAACTTCTTTTGGTCAAATGATGTTTAATGAAACTTGACATAATATTGCTTAAGATTATAGGTCATGCCTTGAAGAGAAAAGCTTTGTGGACCACTTGTGGACCAAAACTTTGACTTAGGGAACCAAAATCCTAATTTAGAAACCATGCTTGATTCCTTTGATGGCAACTTCCTACCTTGTACAATAAGAATAGGAAACAACACAAATTTTTGTATTTTGAATAGGGTTAGAAAAGTTAGAATGTAAATAAGCAAAAAGACAAACAGAAACAAAAAGGGTACTTGGTGATCTCCCAAAGGTGAACCCAAAGAAAATGAAGGTTAGGGGGATGTCATGCTCGTGATTTGATGAGATGCAAATGATATTATAAGTGTAATCTTAGGGGTAAAAATTAGGGTATGACAGTTACTGCAACATTACATATCACATTTCATTTAACCAATAACTGAGATTACATAATTTCATAACATCAAATTACATATTGCTTTGAGCACAACCCTATTTTAAATACATGGTTAAAAACACTAAATTAAAGTATAAACTAATAATACCAAACACCTTTGCAATTTTCAAGGTTCCTCTTGTACTCAAAACCTCATTTAACTTGAATATTTTCTTCCTTTGTCTTTCAATCTTCAAATGTCTTCCATCAACAATTTCATCTCTTACCCACTTGAAAAAATTGCATCCCTACACATTTGATTTTTGTAATTCCTGCAACTCCAAAAAAATTTTCCAACACTAGCACTGTTCAAATTTGTAACAATACGAATGATACACTCTTCTTGGCACTAACAATCTTTCCTCTTGTTTCTTATGACCACAAATCCAAATGACCCACAACTTTGCTTGTTTGATTTTGAATAGTTACTGGAATTCATTGACATCTTAACATAAATGATGAAGATGATGGTTTGGAAGAGGAGGGTTCTTGAAGAAATTTTGAAGAAGAATGTTGAAGGAAGAAGATGAATAGTAGCCCTAAAACGCATTTTGAAGGAAGAAATTTTAAAGAAGAATGTTACAATGAGGAAGCATTGTCTTGCAATGTTAATATAATCCCTTTGTTGCGTCACTATTGAAAGTACACCCTAGTTGTCATGCCACATCAACTCAGTTAACGTTTTTTATTACAAATTTAACTGAAGAGATTAAGTTGGCAAACAGAATCATTGTTAAGAAACTAAATTGTAACGTTTATTAAATAAAAGACTAAACCGAAATTTGAAATTAAATTAAGGAACTTCAACACTAAATAAACTTATATATTACTTATCATATCAATAAAAAATGCACGACCTACATTTCTTACCATCACTACAAAAGAATCAAATTGATGAGTGAAGTGTTCCCGTAAATGGTTCTTTTAGGTGAGTTGAAATCTGAAAACTCGTCTAAAATCATAATAGACATTAAAATTTAAAGATCATTTATATAATGGTATTTACATATTATTTATCAAATAGATCTCCACATTAACAATGATAACAATAAAGATGAAATTGCGCCCTTATATAATAATAATAATAATAATAATAATAATAATAATAATAATTAAAAGTCAACATCAAATAAAATTACAACCTTCTTTATTTTTTTTTATTTTTTTTTACTAAGAGTAAGTAATTTGGCATAACTTTGATAAGTGAGAATGAATATCCTAGGGCATACAAATTTTTCAAGTTTTCATTCAAATAGTAGCAATAATAGGTAGTGCATTTATCAACCCTAGAAGACCCCACTCTTATCATGTGACCACTATAAATTTACCATTCCACATTGTAGTTTGAGTCATCACACATCAAAATGAATAGCTAAACAGTGATTCTGTTTTGCAGTGTGACCCTCTGTTTGTTTCTCCTATAGCATCTGTCTCTTTGATTATCTAATCATTAGATACATAAAATCATTTGTTTGCTCATCACATTTGTCATATCCTCTCTCTCTCTCTCTACAACTTGCATTCTAAATTCACCTTTCTTATGATTTGTTACATAGAAAAAAATTGAGAATATAAGAGGTTCAATAACTCAGAATCTATGTCTTCTTTACTTTCCATGTACCAATCCAAAGGTAATTAAAATACTTCTAATTTTTTTTTTATATTCTTGAGATACCCTTTTCATATAATTTTCAATTCAATCATTTGAAGCCTAATGGAACAATACCCACATAACAAAATCAAACCTTTTTCAATTATGCTTCATTATGTAGGGATGGAAGAGAGAAATGAAACAAGAGGCTATAGTGAAGAGTTTCAAGCAATGTTAGATAGATTGGAACAAGAAGATAGCTATGAAGATAGTAACTTAATGTTGGAGAAGAAAAGAAGACTTGGTTATGATCAAGTTAAAGCTTTGGAAAAGAGTTTTGAGTTGGACAACAAGTTAGAGCCAGAGAGAAGAATGAAGCTAGCTGAAGAGTTAGGTTTGCAACCTCGACAAGTTTCAATTTGGTTTCAAAATCGTCGAGCTCGATCGAAAACGAAACAATTGGAAAGAGATTATGGTGTTCTTAAGTCCAATTTTGATGTTCTTAAGGTTGAGTATAGTAATCTTCAACAAGAGAATCAAAAGGTATAGACATATACTTATGATGTTTTTTTTATTTATTTATATGAATAATGTTAATGTCTGATTTAATTTTTGAGTTTTTTTTGTGTGTGTGTGAATTGCAGTTAAGAGATTTGAAAGAGAGAATGTTGAGAGTTGGGAGAAATGAGTTAGAAAAAGGGGGTGCAGAAAGCAGTTCATGTGGTGTGATTAAAGAAGAAAGTAATGTTGATTGTTCAATGATAAATTTGGTTCATTATTATGATGATTCAAGAGGGTCTCATGAGAGTGTGTTTCAGAATCAGTTTATGAGAATTGAGGAGCAGAATTTATTTAGTAATGGTGAATTATTCAGTTTCTTTTCTCTTGATCAATCACCTACTTTGTAATGGAATTTAGATTGAAATTTCAAGAATAATAATATATTATTATTATAGAAAATTGTTTGGTTAGAAAAATGAGTTTTGTTGTAGAAATGAGGTTAAAAAATTCCTTTTTTAATGAAATAGATAATTCCTCATTAACTATGATGTTTTTTTTTCTGAAAAAATAATAATATTCACCTTATTATTATTATCATTATCATTATTATTGTTATTATTATTATATGAAAAAATTATTTATTTAATTATATTATAATTATTTTTTTATTGAATTCAGAGCATTTTGACATTATTATAATTATTTAGTTATTTAATAAATAATTTTTTAATAACAAAAATTGGAAGGAGTTAAAAAAATAAAATAAGTTTTTTAATATATTTAATTTATATTAAAGAAGAAAATAAGTTTTTTTTTAATTCTAAAAAGCCAAGAGTTAAAAAAATAAAGTGAAAAGGAGTTGAGTGAAGAGTACACTCCACTAGCAAAATAGAGTAAAAAATAGAAATAGGCCAAATCGTATCAACATTCTAGTTCTAGACTTACATCATATCATACCTTTTTTATTAAATAAATTATATTAAAGTTGTTTTAAAAATATTTAATAAAAATGCTATGTCTTTTTTTTTGGGTTTGGAGTATATTTTTTTCTAGCTATAATTGACTAGCCTAATTAGTAAATACATATAATATAGACATACAAAGTGAGATTAAAAAGAGGTATGCATAGGTTAACCTATTTTCAACACCTCTAGTCACAAATGTCAACAAAAGAAATTGATTTTTGAAATGCTCTTAAAAGTGTATTATATTGACAAAAGTTTTTCACTTTTGTTCATCTTATATTGACAAGAAATAAAGTTTGAGATTGAGTATGAAAATTGAGAGAGAAAAAAAAAAGTGATTTAATAGGAGTAGCTTTTTTTTTGGTATTCTGTGGTGGCAGTCACATTCTTTTTTGTTGCATGTGGTTGGTGAAGACAATCGCAGCAGCTTTAGTAAAACTGATTTCTCCACATGCTTTTGCAGATTGCACTTCACATCTTGCATCATCCTGTTCTCTTCAAAACACACACGTTTTATCACGTTTTATGTACTCTAATACACTGTTCATTTATGAACTAGAAAAAGAAGTTGAGATAGCAAAGTCTTATATGATTATACTTCTTCCCTTTTAAGATAATTATTTTTGAAAAAAAATTAAAGAATACGATAATTTTGTCGTAAGACATTATAATTAATTTTATTAAAATATTGGAAGTAGTGAAAAAAGTATAATTGTTAAATGATATAATTGAAAAAATTATAATCATTGTTATATATAAAAGTGTGAATCAGAGTCGTTTTGAAATAAATTTTATTTGTTAAAACGATAACTATTTTAAAACTGATGGAGTAATGAATATGTATCTTCGATACCGTGGAGAGTGGAGATGACTAGCAAAGTTAGCATTTCAATCATCAAGTTAGTGAGAGAAATTAGAATTAAAATGTGGCTGAAAATGAATTTGAGTCTATGAAATAACGCTATTTACTCTTACTATGAGCGGTTGAAATTGCTCGTGTATGGTGTTGCGTGTTGTGTAGACAACCTTAGATTAGATCGGACGGTGATTGATGTGTTAGAGGACGAAGTTTATGTTGTTGTTTATAACGAGAGTTTATATGCTTCGTGCGCCTTTCCACTAGGGATTCGATCTTGGGATATTTTCAATGGGTTTTGCGAACGACTTAGAACATAATGTATCTCTAAAAAAAATAAAAGATCAGACTTTGTGAAAACAACAATATTTGGACTTGTTCTTCCAAGATGATTATTTGACTGGGTACGGATTCCTGATCCCAACTTCTTTGAACTCAGTGTTTGCACATTATTTCTATATTTTCTCCCTCGAAGTGTTCATGGGAGTGTATGCATTAAACTTGGATCGGAGTCTCCAATCCCCTTCTTCTTTACGACGGTTGTTATCTCTTTCTGGTACTACTACAAAATAAGTCTTTCGTAACACCAATAGTACGACGACCATAATGTAAATCGTGGTAATAGATTAATCATGAGCGCATTTTTTTTTTATTTACTAGATGACATGTCACAACGGTCAAATGTAACAACCGTAGTAAAAAGTACACGAAGTAAAATGACTTGAGTCCCATCACCAATAATTAGTCATTTATCATGATAAAAAATGTTATTGACCATGTATATCACCACGGTTTTTATTTCCAACTGTGATGAAACGTGAAATTTATTTATATATAAGCAAAATTACATATCGCTTCAGTACATAACAATTGTCTCTCTCAAAACAAAACCCTAACAAATCTTTCATTCGTCTTTCAAAACGAAACTCTAACAACTTTGTCACTCGTCTCTCTCATATGGAAACCACAGAACGAAACCATAACATCAAATGTTAGCCAATGGGTATTTACAGGTTCGTTTTCTTTGTAGATTTTTTTTTTTAAAAAATCTGTTTCAATAGCTTGTTTCATGATGTTTGAACTTTCTTCTTTTTTTGTCTTGTAGGTATGGATGCTTATTGCAATAAAGAGGACGAAGATAAGTTTAGCCTGACAAACTTGTGTCAAAGATCCATAATGACATACATTCAAAATATACACAAGTTTATTGGTCTAAATTTATCTTCATCCTTATTTCATTGTTGACACGCCATTATGGGACTTGACATGTATGGAATGTTTCTGAAGCATTTTATGCCTTAATATGTTTGTTGTATTGTGTTTGTTGTTTATGGTTTGTTGTTGATGAATATTTTGTATGAATATTGTTGTTAATGTGTGTTTAAAAGATAAGTTTATTATATATTATGTGGTTTGAGTGTTTTTCCAATTCCTTACCGTATATATATATATATATATATATATATATATATATATATATATATATATATATATATATATATATATATATATATATATATATATATATATATATATATATATATATATATATATATATATATATATATATATATATATATATATATATATATATATATATATATATATATATATATATATATATATATATATATATATATATATATATATATATATATATATATATATATATATATATATATATATATATATATATATATATATATATATATATATATATATATATATATATATATATATATATATATATATATATATATATATATATATATATATATATATATATATATATATATATATATATATATATATATATATATATATATATATATATATATATATATATATATATATATATATATATATATATATATATATATATATATATATATATATAACTTCCCAAACTGCATTAGAAAATTATGATATGATAGATAAAATTGTATTAGAAAATAAGTACACGTTCAATTGTTGATAAGAATTCTTCACACTATTAACTGCATATTATTCCTTGACCGTTAGAACTTGGTTTAGTGATTGTAGATCTTCAATCACCCCTCTCTCCACTTCTAATTTTGTTTAGGCGAAGAAAGCATAACATAGGTCCTTCCACAAATCCATGTTCTCATATGTGAGGGTTTTGAACCATGTCATCATAGTTTCTTTTAGGGGGCGTGTTAGTAATATTGTTTGTTATCTACATGCTCAACATGTTTATGAGGATTTGTAGTTCACTCATAGCTTTGGATCCTATTGTCGAGGATGCGGACAGATTCCAGATTCTTCTTTCTCTCAGGAGCAGGAGCATTTGTGTCAAATCTTTCCATCCTTTTGAAATGATGTGTAGGTAAATGAAGTTGGCAGCGGGCCTCGAGAGAATTATGAATTTCGCTTTGTCCTTGATACCGATCACGAGTTGGTGACTATAGGATTTCTCCCACCAACATAAACTTGTTCTGCACGGCGACCTGGTCGCTTTGAGACCATGTTTCTCATTTAGTACTACCTATTTGTGAATCGTGCTAAAGATTATCTACAATCCGATAATCCTTTCAGCTAGAAGTTATTAACTTTGTTGGTGCGCCAAAATGTTGACAATGTCTAACAAATTTCTAGCTTCCTTTAATATAATATTTTCCAACAAAAGTTGAAGGTTTGGAATCAATTTTTGTTTAGGTATAATAGGTAGAGGAGGCAATCGATGTGATGGTTTGCATTGGTGAGACTGTTGGGTGGAAGTAAAGAACACAAGAGCATGAAATGTTCCTTTTCCAATTCTTAGAGGTGCATGATTTTTTTTTTGTAGGTTCTAAAGTAGATGCCACCAAAATTAGATCAACTTCTCCAAATGAGGAGGATGAGGAGATGGAGCTCTAGAAGCCTTAGTGATTATAATAACAGCTTGTTTTTAAATGAAAAATGAAGTGATCTTGGATGTCACCATGCTTGATGAATTTGATGAAAGATTTATTGGAGAATGAGATTGAAACTTCAAGAAAGAAGATTGTTGAAACTTCAAGAAAATGAGATTTGGATCTTTGATGGATAAAAGGTGGTTTTTCATGAATTTAGTGGTAATTAGAAGTAGACTTCCATAAACAGCACCATTGTTTGGTTAGGAACTAAAAAAGGAAGGTTACATAGCAAAGTTGTGTCTTGTTATGGTGGAGATGTGGGTTAACCTATAAGATTAGTACTCAGACGCCTAAGTTAGTGAGAAAAATCAGAAGTAAAGTGTGAATGAGAAAGAATTTAAAGATTCTCTAAATAACTATGAGTTTATGTTTGATATGTTCTAACTGTCGTTTTTGTGTCAATTTCACTTTGATAGTGTACCTTTAGAAAATATAAAGAAAATTTATGGAACGTAAATGCGTGCTAAAGAAGTATTGGTCTGAAAAACTTTTTCATTAATTAAATGATGGATTACATTTTCTTAACAAAAAAAAAAGGGGTACAAGATGTTTTTTAGATTTCATCCCTAGCCATTGCATCTCGTGCCCAACGGTGTCCACTGTTGTTATAGTCCACCTCCTCATCTTCTGAATCAATCACTTATTCCTCTTTTATGTTTGGAAGAGAGTGG